AGAGCATGCATGGGCAGACCATGAAACTCGCACGGCCGTGCAACATGCAATCCAGGCCGTGCGCTTTTTGCCGAGCCCACGCACGGGCAACCCCTGAAACTCGCACGGCCGTGCAACGTGCAACCCTGGCCGTGCGAGATGGCTGAAGGTCGATTAATTGATGCGCCGCGTTTTGAGCCGCACGGCCAAAGTGGTGATATGCACGACCGTGCGGCCTGGCCGTGCGAGTCGGGAAATTCTGGTTTTTAAGCGGATTCCGAGCCAAACAGAGGGGGATTCGAGTTTTGGAGAGACAGAGCGATTCCTAAAGAGAGAAAGCGACGAACAAGAGTCTCCAAGTGCCCTAGATCGATCTTCAACACCATTGGAGCTTGGCTTGAGCTTGGAGAAGTGCCGATTCAATGTCCAGGAGCAGAAATCCATCTTAACAGTATGATTTCCGCGTCTGATTCTGCTTTTGCTTCTCTCTCCATGGAGTAGTTCTCCCATTCATCTGGGTGTGGGAAACCCTAGTTCTGTATGTTAGGATTGATTGTATGAACCCAAGTATTGATTCTATGATTTTGATTATATTCGATTGAGGTTTGAATGATTGAATGGCATGAATCCTGATCAAATTCCTGTTGTTTCTGCTTTAACCTAGAATGATAATATCTGTCTAGGTTGATAGAGTATCCTTAATCGAAGGTAGTGAATTGGTGACTTTAGTCGAGGGGCCAATTCACTATTCTGTACCGAATTCAATTCGGTAGTGGAGGTTTTGTTCATAGGGCCTCAATCTGTTTACTCCAGTGGAGGTTAGTCGCCCGCTAGAGACTCAGATTGAGAGGGTCTGAAGACCTTTAGTCGAGACTTCAGACTGTTTAAGAACCTTCCGCAGTATAACTATCATAGAAATTGAACTTGGTAATTACAATCCGGCTTAACTGCAGACTAGGGGGAACCATATCCGGGTGACCTCTCTTAACCCGAAAACAACCGTTTAGTCGCTTTGCTTGCTTGTTAGTTTAGAACTTCACTAAAGTTGCATCGCTAGATAATACGAATTCACTGAGTAGTCATCACATCTAGGACCCGGGTTGACAATAAAACCTACGCTTTAGGAAGTGGTTACACTTGGCCATTTTCTAGAGTGACAGTAGGAGTGAGTCAACAATCGTTTCTTGATGTCGTGCTTTGAACTCTTGACTTGGATATCATCAAAAGGTACAACCTAACTCTGATGTAGAGAAAGATGGACAACAAATAAAAATTTCCAAATCTAAACTTCCATTCATGAAAAAAATGTACAACACTTGGGGGAGGGGGGGGAATTAGTGATATCTTGTGAATTAAGGAAGTGGATGAGCATGAAAAGAGTCGACACTGAACACTCATTCGGAGATGAGAGAAAATCATATATGCACGCTTTAAGGACAGAGTTCGATGCAGACTAAAAGATTGGAAAACTCAGACAATGTCACGAGCTGGAAAAGAATTTCTAATTAAAGATGTGGCACAAGCCCAAATGTTATTTACAATGATGGTCTTTCAAACTCATTAAGGAATTCTTAACGGAATTTAAAGCCTAGTCACTAGCTTTTGGTGGGGACAGAAAGCATAGGAATCACGTCTTAAGTGGACGAGGTTGGGCCAACTATGTGGCAAGAAGAAAGATGGTGGCCTTGGGTTCAGAGATCTCAAACCGTGTTATAAAGCAACGTTAGCTATGTAGGTTTGGAGTATTATGAACAAACTTGTATCACTTGTTACTAAACCTCTTAAAGCTTGCTACTTCCTTCTATTGATATCTTGCGAGCTAAGTGGGATCTAGCGTCAACTATGTTTGGAGAAGTTTGATAGGTGCAATTGCAGAAGGTTTAAGATGGAGGGTTTGTACTTTGTAATGGTCGCGACATTCACATATGGGTGGATAAATGGTTGCCTAAGAAAACTTATTTTAGGCCAGATTCGAACACACAAGATATGGATCAAAATGCTACTGTATCTACACTTATGAACAACGATTCATGTTCTTGGGACTTGAAGCTTCATTCAACAATGAGGCTCACATCCAAATTGAACATATACCTCTATGTCAGTCGCTTAAAAGTGATGAGAGAATTTGGCTCCATCCCAAATGGGAGTATACGGTTGGACATGATATGATCTATACATGATATCCAACTAACTCACACATATCGACAACTAAGGACCTCTCATCTTATGCGAGTTTTTTTTTTAAGAATACGGGAACTCAAAATTCAACCAGGTAAAAATATTTATGTGGAAAGTTAGTATGGGGCACCTAACCTTCTGGAAAGTCGTTTAGAGGATAAGTTGGAGAAAGCTAGACATGAATGCCCATTTTTTCGGACTCGACAAATCACTAGAGCATGATCTTCGTAACTGTAGTTGGCTTACAGACTCTGGTGGCCATGTCGTGAAAGGGACTACTTTATTAAGAGCAAAGATCTCTCATGTTAAGAAAGATTGGCTTTATGTAGTCTTCAATTCATGCCCATATGACAAGCTTCAATGATTTAGCGCTATTCTTGGTTTCTTTGGCGAGTGAGCAACAATCACAATTTCAATAAGAGGAGTATGAAAGAGGATGGGACTATCTCAAGAGCAATTTTTCAGGATAAACAAATCATGTGGAAGCCATCTAAGCACCGAATGCTGAGTCACGAATGAATAAAAAAGATTGAAGGTAAACCAAATTTCAGAACAAAATTTTCAATTAATTTCATTAGAACAAGACAGTCAAACGTCAAAATTTTGACGAGAGTATTATCTATTTTCTTTTCAAATTACAGTCAAGTTTCTTTAGTATATCTACCTAGTATACCGATCAATGCGAATTGATTTTCTTTTGCTTCAAGCAATTGAATAATGCCAGATTGAAATCGAAAAATAAGGGTTAATGCCACATTTGGTCACTGTGATTACTAAATTGTGTCAAGTTTAGTCACTAGAAAAATTTAATATCAAATTTGGTCACTCTAATTACTAAAACAAGTCATATTTAGTCACTCTCCGTTAGTCTCCGTCCAACTCCGTTAATGAAGTCCGTTAAGTGCTGACGTGGCTAACGAGAGAGCCTAATCAGCGTCGTTTTGACCCGAAAATGGTCAAACCCGACCCGCCACGTCACCAAACCCGCCATGTCATACATCAAATCAAAACCATTAACCCAACCCGACCCAGAACTAAACCCTAACCCACCTAACCAAACAAAATTGGAAAATCGATTGGGTTAGTGGCCATTTTCAGACCAAGACCCTTTCTCCTTCCTCGCGAACTGCTCCTTCCTCTAGGTTCACCAATTCGATCGAACTTCAGGGAGAGATGAAGAGCTCGACGCTATCCCTTTTCCCGCGAGGTGCAATTCTCCAAAGCTTCCAAAACCTTGCCGGCTCGGGACTTGGCGTCATCCATGCTCGTCGCCATCTCCTCCACCAACAGCTCAACCCACTGGGTTGGGGGGTCCCTGCTGATTTTCACCGCGGGGCCGGGTTTCGCGGCAAGCGCTTCTTCCAGGGAGAGACGGCAGAGGCAGTAAATGGCGGCGTCGATGTTGCTGCCGCATTCTTCCAGGGATAGCTCGAGAATCGCCACCTCCATGTTGGGGAACCTCGCCTGGAGGCGCTTGAGACCTGGGGGATTGCAAAGAAACAAACGAGACCCATTGTAGAGAGATCGAAGACGACGACGACGGTCGTTTAGATAAACAAATTTTCGCAGCGATATGGCTACTCTCACTGTTCCTCACCAGGCTCCCGACGCCGCTGAAGACTCCGAACAGCTCCACAAGGCATTCTCAGGTTTCCCCTTCCCTTCCCCCGTTAATCCTCCCCCGTCCCTCTCTGTTTTCCTTTCTTCTCTCCGATAGATCAATTAGCACGATCCCTTCTTCCGACGATCAGATCTGATCTTTTAGATCGCCGACGTTACTTCTTCTATCTCAATTATTGTCGGTAGATCTCAAGATTATCTCGTCCGTTGATCGTGATTTTTGATTCGGTGTGTTTAACGATCAGAATGGGGGACGAACGAGGCGCTGATCATCTCGATCCTGCCGCACCGGAACGCCGCCCAGGGGAAGCCGATCAGAGAAGTCTACAGCTCCACCTACGGCGAGGATCTGCTCAAGGATCTCGACGATGAGCTCTCCAGCGACTTCCAGCGGGAATTAATTGGGTGTCTTTTGCACCTTGAAGGGAAGGAGCAGAGCAGAGCATCGCGAGGAAGGAGAAAGGGTTTTGTTAGGTGGGTTAGGGTTTAGTTTTTGGTTAGGTTGGCTTAATAGTTTGGGTTGGGTGTATGACATGGCGGGTTTGGTGACATGGCGGGTCGGGTTTGACCATTTTTGGGTCAAAATGACGCTGATTAGGCGCTCCCGTTAGCCACGTCGGCACATAACGGACTCCATTAACGGAGTTGGACGGAGACTAGCGGAGAGTGACTAAATATGACCTGTTTTAGTAATTAGAGTGACCAAATTTGATATTAACTTTTTCAAGTGACTAAACATGACACAATTTAGTAATCACAGTGACCAAATGTGGCATTAACCCCGAAAAATAATATGCCAAAAAGAGGGCAGACGAAACAAAAAGAAGAAAAAAAAGTAGCCAAAATCCCACGGCGTGTAAGAAAAATTGAGCCCAGCGCTAGGGGTGTGCAACGGTTTGGTTCGGTCCGGACCGGACCAAACTCATGAGAACCGCGGTCCATTAGTGAAAGACATGTTAGGACCAAGGACCGGACCATTCTTGTATTTGGTCCATTTGGTCCGGTTCGGTCCGGTCCAAATATGAGCTCGGTCCATCATTTCTTCAGTAATTATAACATTCATGAGGACCAAGGACCGGACCGCATTTTACTCGGTCTGGTCCGGTCCGGTCTTAACAACGGTTTGGTCCGGTGTGGTCCGGTACGGACCGGACCATTGCACACCCCTACCCAGCGCCATCATTAATCTCCCCCAACGTTCTTATTTTCAAAAACCGTTGGAGCCAAAAGAAAGAACACAACAGCAGCAGAGGGCAGATCCCCTCTTTCCCTCATCTCCATCTTTGACATTCTTTTTCACATGAACCAAGCAGCCCCGCACCCAAAGACCATGAACTCCTCCTCCACCTAACCCTTTACTCTCCCACTCGCCACTTCCCGCTCGCTCGCTCCATCTCCCACCTCCTACAATGGGTTGCTTAATGGGCTGCTTCGGGCTCTCTTCCAAGCGCAAGCGCAGAAAACCACCCAGCCGAATCCTACCCAGAGATCAAGTAAGCTATTAACGTCGATCGATTCACAATAAAGATGCCATCTTTTGTTTCTGATCTGTTTTTGCGGTGTGGGTAATTGGGCAGGGATTCGGCAGTTACGAGCAGTTGGGTAATTCTGGGGCTATGGATGTCGAGTCAAATGAGGAGATGATGAGGTAAGATTCTAACCTCAGGTGGTTCCACTGTTGAGTTCTTTTCTAATTTTTTTGGGCGATTCTGATCCCCCTTTTTAATGTTCATGACCGGCAGGAAGCAGACGAAGAAGGCGCCTTTGAAGGGAAAGATCAGGAAGAAAGTGAGCTTCAATTTGAATGTCATGGCTTATGAGCCGATTTCATCCCAAGACGATTCGTCGTTGAGCCTTTGGGTTGGGGATGAAGATGGAAAGACAGAGGAAATTGGGAACAAAAGAGGGAAAACAGTTGAAGAACCACCTTCTTCTCCTGCAGAAGAAGATCCAAAAGCAACAAAACTGTCGTCTTACCCATCCAATTACAGATATCGAAACTGTATCGACCACTTTGACGAAGACGAAGCAGAAGAAGAAGAAGAAGAAGAAGAAGAAGAAGAAGAAGAAGAAGAAGAAGAAGATGACTTTTACGACGAGAGTGATTTGGATTCCGATGAGGACTACGATGAGGAGGAGGAAAAAGAGGAAGTAGAGGGCGGTCAACTGGGTGATATTGAAGAGTTGAGAAGAAGAACTATAGGAATTCAAGACAAACAAGTCTCACAGCCATTCAACTCTTTGCAAGTGAGTCCAAATTCAGGGAAATGGCCGGAGAAGAACGACCAGAATGCTAGGGAGAGGAGTCAGTACATACATTCAGTGTTGAACCCAGTTGAGAATCTGGCTCAGTGGAAAGAAATCAAGGCTAAAGGGAAGCAGCAGCAGAAAAAGGAGAACACTGAGTCAATGCTTCTTCCAGTTCAAGGAGTTGCCGTGGCTTCCAGCTTGTCAAACTGGTTAGCCTCTCCTTTAGTAAATTGCCAACCTAAAACCGAGGTTGACAGAAGCTGTGCTCGATCATGGAGAAGCAGAGAGGAATCATTAGGCATTACTGATATCACCAACTTAAGTACATGAACAGGAGGAGAAACTCCATGGAATATATCTGATGGAGTCAGCATGAAGCTTAGTGTGAATTATTAAGGCCTTTGGTCGATACAGTTGTTGGTTTGTTATGATGATGTTGATTGGTGGCTCTGTTGCGAGATTCTTTGATTCGTTTGGCTTTTGTGAATTGTGATTGTTGTCTTGTAGAATCATTCTTTTGTAAGTTATTTGAAGTCTGTCTGTGTGGTGTTTTTCATCCTCTGTTTCTGCATCTGGTGCTCTCCTTCATTTCGTTCTCAGAACCATCATTCTGAACTGAATTATTGTTGCTTGTGGAGAACCTAATTCAAAGTAAAAGAGGGTTACTGTGGATGGCAACAGTTTCCAAATATTCTCATTCTGTCATGACAAGGTATGATTTTTCACAGCATCACTCTGCAAGCAAGATTCTCGAACATGTGGTTCCGGAAGGAATCGCATAAACTTGGAATTAACTCCTATGAAAGGAACTCAGTTAAACAGACAAGAGGAACACTTTGCAAGTAATTCTCGAGTGATCTATAGATGTCGATACACAATATGCACAAATTCTGGCAAGTATGCCAGCAAAGTTCACTTTCAGTTTCTATTGCTACCCTTCTTTCTATATGACAGATCAGAGTTGATGTATGACTTTCTGCCTCCGCTCAGGTAATAAGATCCATGCAAATTGCAGCTGCCTGGAAAAATCTCTTGAATACTTTCATCACAGTTCTGGTATGCCGCTCTATTATTATTGTCAGGATGAGAATCATAAACTGCTTGAATCATGGTTGACTTGTATGACAAGAATTTGGACCTTTGATTCCACCAGAGGACAGTCAAAATTGTAGCCGCACAGGAGAGTGTGGTTTGGGGATGTTCTCTAGTAGTCAATAGTCATCTAGAGATTGCTGAGTACTGCGTTACTTGGTGGTGGTGGTGGTGAGATGATATCTACATTATGGTACACATACAAGCATCTGAATCCTCGTCATCTGAGTCGGCATCACTGGAGTCATAAACATATAAACAAAAGGAGATTTAGGAGCATGATAGTGAACTACGATCAAAACTGGAGAACGGCAATTCAAACTACAATCAATAGTGTAAAAGTAACAAAGAAGATTATGAGTTTTGAACTCTGAAGGCATCAATGAACTCTTACTAGTACCATACACCCTAACAGATTCAGTTTGTGTTCAAATCACCCATCGCTTATTTCAAGTTTATAGTACTGCAACAAAAGGAAAGGGCTCACTAAAGGGAGTGGCTTGAGAAATGTGGTGAAAAGAGAAGCAGGAGTACGTTGAGACACAAGGAGAATAAAACAAGCAAGTTAAGTTGACCAAGATACACGATTGAATGTCACATCTTATTTAGAAGCACAAACTCAATGGATATTACTCTGGTTCTGGTACTGAACTACTGATAAGACTACACAACAGTGAGCACTGTTGCAGAATGCAGCATTCCAATGGTAGGAAAACAAAAATTAGAATCAGTGTGACTGAAATCAGCAAATAAGGTTTCTACAGTCCATTCGCTTCATTTTGAGGCCACTTCAAGTTAAAAACTCGAACGGAGCCGAATCCATAACTGCCCTATAGTAGAGAAACATCCAAGTAGAGAAAAGAGCTTTGAAACATCAGCAACTCCAACCCCCCAGTTAGGTCATATCCAAGCTACTTAGACAAAGCTGTTACGGTGATGTGATGTAGGGGATGACGTTTTTAGGATATTTTTTTGTAAAAATTGATAAATTGCAAGAACTCACAAAGGAAATAACTAAGAAAATAGCAAATAAAAAACAAAAGCTAACTATTGGGTTCCAATCTTCTTATCATTAAACGAACAAAACAAGTACATATAATAATAAAATACTAAAGATACGCAAGCCTTTTTATAACTCAAGAACACCAGATGAGACTAGAATTACGAGGTAACTGTCAGGAGCTCAATGGGCACAACACAATTCACACATGAAAAAAATGAACTCCGAGCTCTGATTAGAACAGAGAGAAAAAGTAATGTAGCTGTTACCTGGGTTCAAACTCGAGAATCTCGGCAAGCTTTTGCCCATTTTTATCATTCCACTGAACACTCCGCCGCACCTTTTCCGACTTCCTGGACATCCCACCTTTCCTCGGAGCCAGCAAGGAATTGGACTCGCTCTCCTCTTCTTCTTCCCCATCGTCCCCTTGATTCTCAACTTCATCGCCATCTTTACTTATCAAAGGCTTGGTATCGCATCCATCTTCCTCCTTATTGTCCATCGACATTACAGGCTTCTGAGCAATCTAAGATGTAGCTACGCTCTCAAACCCTCAATTTCGCCCCCAAAAAATCACAGCAGGGAACAGAAGATTAGAGGCAAAGCTTGAGGCTTTCCCCTCCCCCCACAAAATCCCATATACCCAATTGGCCAAACATCGAGAACCCACCAAACCCTAGCCCTGAATTGGAGGAATTCAAGGTGGGAACTGCAAAAGGTGTGCCTTTTTTCACAATCTGGGTAGTAAAAGTAACCAATAAGGTCAAGGTCAATGACTCTGCTTTGCTCCGGCCAATGACGAATCTCAGAACTGAATGGGAAGCGAAATTAGGAAGGAAAAAGCATTGACTTCCACTGGAAAACAAGAGGAAAAACTGGGGAGAAAGTGAAAAGGGCAAATCAGCTTTTCAGGAGGGGGGGGGAACACACACAAACAGTATTGGTATTAGCTAATGGATAGGTAAATGAAGAAGGAGAAGCAAGCTAGAGCGGAGAGAATGAGATTAATGGTGGAGAAGAGCAAATCTTGTAACCTAAGAAAGGATACCATTGATTGGAATGGGGAGGATGAGTGAAGAAGGCGAGAGAGATGAATAACTGAAAAGGCAGGCAACTAATGAGAAAGTGAAGAGAGAGTAATAGTGAAATGACCCCATACACAACAGAGAGAGGCCAGACAAAGAAAGAAGAATAGAGTCGGCAGGAAATGGGATTTTTTTGTATAATTTGTTAACGAAATATATAAAAGGGAAGGGGGAGGAAGAACAAAAAGAAAAAAAGAAGAGGAAAGGAAAGGAGACAGGTTGAGGTTGCTGCTTACCTGGTCCTGGTTATATTCTACTATGAGTCCGATTTGGGACCTATCTTGGTGGGTGATCGGACGGCTGTGATGAGCTGTCACCGCCAGTTGACAGACGGTCGTTAATCTCGTTAATTTTGGGGGGGTTTACACGTGGAGGGCTGTCGTCGGATGATGGTTGAGAAGAGTTTGGGGGGAATGAAAAATGCATGCTCTTTGTTTTTTTTCTCCCATTGAAGCAAGTAGCTAGCAGCAGCTTACTTCTGAGTGTTGAGCTGTCACGCGAAAATCATTTTGATTCCAGCCCTAACATAATGGAATTGGCAAAGAATCAGGTGGAGAATTGATTAGTTGGTTAGTGAAAGGAGTTCTTAATTATTGGTATGAGATGTAAGCAGAGTGGTGGGGTTTTTTTTCTTTTAATAACTCATGAACATGGTAGAGCTATATCAAATCTAGAGGCTCATCTGATTGTGATTAAGGTTTTTGGGCCCTCTACTAAGATCTCTATTACGGTCGTCAAGAACACCACGAAAAGGCCTCGAGAGGAGTCAAACTCAGGACCTTATATGTTTAAAACGAGCACTTAAATAGGGTTCACCAATCGGTCTATGTGATCTTTGGCTGGCGATTTTGAGAAAAGAGAAAAGCATAGTATAATTTTTGGTCTGGTGTTGTCTATAATTTTTTATTTAGAAACAGATGTTTTATGATAAGTTCCCCTAATTTTTCTTATTCGCATTCTGCAAATCCATTTTGCTCTAGTAAGAAGGGGAAAAAATCCATGTTGTTCTTGCCCATTCGGTTGAGCAATGAAATGATCCAGGTTTTCTCAATATTAAAAAGTTAAGTTGAGTAACCTTTATTGCATTTAAATCCCCTAATATTTTATAATTTATATAATTATCTTCTATATTAAAAAGGGGGAAAATTGATAATTTCTTATAAAGTAACATAACCTTTTTTAAATCCTAAAAATACAACCACATAAACCAAATAATGTAATTGATAATAAATCAATGTTTATACAGATACTCATCACAACACATCAATTTAACAATCATACAAATGAAACAATCCCTTAGTTCACAAGTTTGAAAGTTATTTGGCAATTGCTAGAGTAGAGATGTTCATTCACTCCCTGCTTTTCTATCATTGATGCACCGACTTGTAGTTAGACATACACGAGCCTATTGTGGTGACAATTTTGCAATTTCACTTATGATTTTAGGGTTAATACTTAATAATATATATATTTGATTCCCTTAATGTACATTTTTCTCAAACATGTTTTACTGTGTTTCAAGTAGAAAAATGCTCGCTTATTATGATAATGTTTAGCAAACATTCAAATCTGTTTAAGTTTTCCTATCTTATTTCCATTAATCAATGTTCAAATCATGAAATGAACGAACTGAAATCACTAAATTACCCTAACTATTTATAAGAAACATAACAATAAAATAGAAACAGAATGAATAGAAACATAACAATAATTTAGAAAATTATAGATTATCTATATTTTCCATCAAAAAAAATAAAAACAGAAAAAGCTACAACATGAACATGATCTAGGTATTACTGAGTAAAGTATAGACCAAACTACTGTTGTTGCAGCAGTTGCTTGGGATGTTGCTATACATGATTGCAACATTTCAACTTCCACCTCACTCAAACTTCTTGTAAGTTCTTTGATTGTGAAGTTGCCATATAAAATGCCCTTATCTTTTTTCTCACAACTTGGGATTGGATGAATGAAAGAATCTATGGTAGTGGTGAAGGGAAAGAGCACACTTTGAGAGGGAGTCACCTGCATTGAAGCAAATCCTCCCTCAAATTATACCAGTAAGTATACATTACAGCATTTATCCATCTTATCCCCATTTTACTCACTGCCCAGCTTGCCAATATTTGGCACCGCCGATAAGCCTGAATCGCCCATTGCCATGAGTTTGTCCGATATTCACGAGGTCTGGTACTCGTAGTCCTGCAAAGTGCCAAGTTCTCTGGTTATCATGAAAAAACTCATCGATATCCGGCTTGTTGTTGTGTACCTGCAGACACATTGATTATTGCAAGTGAAAATGGTAACAAAGCATGCAGAAGTAGACAGCATATATTCTTATCTCGTTTGTCTTTCACCAAGCTAGTAAGAAATGGCATGCAAGAAATGTGCTCTCCTTGTAGATTAGGATTCCCAGCAACAACTGTCTTCCAATATGGTTGTGGGACAATGGTTGAATAGCTCCATCACCAGCACTTTTGTTCGTTTTCCTTGCAATATCTGGTGGTGGGACAAACATCAGCTTAGTTGGTTTGGTGTAGTCTAGTGCCCACATCCAGCAATTGCTACAAGAACTCTCCACAAACGTCTTTTCACTGTCTCAGTTTCATAAAAAAAATCTAGCAAAGGAGTGATACAGAGAGATCCTGAGCCTTTTTGACAGAGCAAAAACCTTTCTGCAAGTTAACATCCATGTAAGTGGAGGAACGTAGCACTTGTTAACCATCTTAATTATGTTACACCCTAATCTGCAAAAGAAACTGTTCAAACAAATTTGCAAACCATAATATAGAACAGAAGTACTCAATACGAATCTCCTTCACCTCCATATATGTAGACTGTAGTTCTTGATGATTAGTGATTTTTATGTTCCATTGCAGTGCTGAAAAGCCAGTGGAGGTTGATCATCACCTGTATGAATTCGGGTCGGTGGAGTGCTATGTTCAGGTAGCACCCAATTTCTACTAGAGACATTAATCTGCCAACAGAAATCAGTCATTCTAATAAATAAACTCATATTTGACTATCTTTTGTGTACTGTTTTTTCAAAAGTCCTCATCAACTGATGCACACCACAGCTTCTTATCAGTAATCACTCCACTGTGTGATGCCTGGACCTGAGCTCGACTAATTGACAATGGCGGATAGCAGAAAAGGGAATAAGAACGAGAGAGAGGGAGAGAGAGAGAGAGGGAGAGAGATTGGGGGGAAAGTTCTGTTATTCCATAGATGTCGTTACAAGGCCACTGACTGTCTCCTTTTATAGTCATTGTCACATTTACACTTTGATCCCTAAACTTCTCTTCTTCTATTTAACATGTAACTCCTCTAACTTCTTATTATTTGCAAACAAGGACCATCCATTACAACTCCCTTCCTCTTCGCCAAAGACTTGACCTCACGTCTTGAACTCAGGAAATCGGATTTTGATCTCCTCCAAGTACTCCCAAGTAGCGTCTTCTTCCTTCTGATGGGTCCATTGTACTAGAATTTGAGTAGCAGCCTTGTTGTCCTTGGATACAACCCTTCTAGCCAAAATCAGCATTGGCTCCACCTTCATACTACCATCTTCATCCAATTCTGGCAACATTGGCTGTGTAGTAACCTGCTCTCCTGATGCTTTCTTCAACAAGCATACGTGAAACACAGGATGTACAGCAGTACCAGCAGGCAGTTGTAGTTTATATGCTACTGCTCCAACCTTCTGTATCACTTGAAAAGGCCCATAGAACCTTGGAGATAGCTTTTGATTTGCTCTGGCAGTCACCGAGACTTGTCTGTATGGTCTAAGTTTGAGGTAGACCTTATCTCCCACCTGCAAATCCCGTTCAGTTCGATGTCTATCAGCCATTTGTTTTTGCCTATTCTGAGCTTGTGCTAAATTGGTCCTGAGAATCCCCACCATCCTCTGCTGCTGACTAAGTCTTTCAGCTACTGCAGCCACAGAAGTAGTTAAAGGATTTTGTAAAGCAAACTGAGAGGGAGGGTACCCATATAGAGACTCAAATGGAGTTGTTCGTAGACTGGTGTGGTAATTTGTGTTATACCACCACTCTGCCATTGGCAACCAAGCAGCCCAGTCCTGAGGTGTATGATGAATCATGGCTCTTAAGTATTCCTCCAAGCAACGATTAACTCTCTCAGTTTGACCATCAGTTTGCGGATGGTAAGCTGTTGAGTAATGCAATTTCACTCCCTGCAACTCAAACAGTGTAGACCAGAATACACTAGTGAAAACTGCGTCACGATCACTAAATATTGATTTTGGCAGCCCATGTAGCTTATACACCCCTTCGAAGAACACATTTGCAACAGACATAGCAGTATAGGGATGACTTAAGGCAAAGAAGTGACTATATTTAGTAAACCTGTCTACCACTACCAAAATTAGTTCCTTACTCCCAGACTTCGGCAAGCCTTCAATAAAGTCCATGGACAGCTGCTGCCACCCTCCCTCAGGAACAGGTAAGGGTTGAAGTAATCCAGGGTAGGGAATGTTTTCAATTTTGCACTTCTGACAAGTATCACATTGTCCCACAAACTCCCGCAGCTGCTTCTTCAAACCAGGCCACCAAAAGTACTTCTTTAAGCGTTGATAAGAGGCCTGCACACCAGAGTGACCACCTACAGGGGAGCTATGAAACAATTGTAGGAGCTGTAATCTCATCTGCCCTGTCTTTCCCACATACAAGGACCCTTTATGATACAACAAGCCGTTTTTAACTTCATTCACCCTAGGTCCAAGCATAGGAATGGCAGCTCCAGTCAACATATCCTGAACATCAGAATCATTCTCATAAGTAGCTTCTATATCAGTTATCCATGTAGGAAGAACAGTGGATATAGCCTGACATTGGCCAGTGTCTGTGAAGTTAGGATGCCTAGATAAGGCATCAGCGACCTTATTAAACTTCCCTTGTCGATATCTGATTTCAAAGTCCAATCCTAGCAGCTTGATCAACCCTTTTTTTTGAATCTGTGTGTGTACCTTCTGCCCCAATAAATGTTTCAGACTCTCGTGGTCAGTAAGGATAATGAACTTCCTACCCTCCAAGTAATGCCGCCATTTAGTTACTGCCATCAACACAGCTAGGTACTCTTTCTCATAGGTAG